CTTTCAAAAATGAAACATCGTTTTGGTAGAGAAGCATTTTGTTAAAACTCTTTGGTCTGTCTCAAAATCAGATGTTCTGCTTTGCAAAGGTTTATTTGTTTTACATGCATACCCGCCTGGGTCTATTAAATTCAGGACTCCCACAATGGTGTCCCTTTCTTCATTCTACCCTTTGCAGCTGCAGAACAGCATGACATATTCATAAGAAAATAATGGAAAAAAACCCTTGATTTCCTTTTCAAACTTTAACCCATTAAAATTGTTTCCCAGTCGTTGGGGTTTTTATCCTCATTAGAGTGCAAACTCCCCAGGAGTTACAGACACCATGTTCCATGCAAGTAGAGCTCAGGACCTTAATACACCTTAATAATTTGGGCTTTAATACAAAGGTCTTTGACTATTGTTTGCAGGATGAGGTAAGGTTTTCAAAATATAAAGTAAAAATGGGAGCCTGGAGCCAGGCTCTGTTCCCAGCTTTCTAACTGTCCAGTTGTTCACTTCTGGCCAAAATGCTAAGCTTCACTAACAGCTGTGAAACAGGATTATGAAATGTGAACTACTATAAACAGTCTTTGAAATCTGCATAGGAAAACTGTTCCAGATAAGAATCACACCAACTCTTTCTATATGGGTATACATACAGATACTGAGAAAGATTCCTCTAGAATTAAAAAAAAAAAATAAAAATCCAGCTTTACTCTGGTAACATCTTTCAACTAGTATACAAACAGCACCACTGAAATGCAGACATTAAGTAAAGGATGAAGGAGCAACTATTTGGACAGGGATGCCGAAACGATGACTTGTGTGAAAAACCTACTTAGTCGATTAAAAGTCTTGATCAAGCCCTTAAGTTTCTCTTTGCCTCAGTTCCCATACATAGAAATGGAATACAAGAAACTGGTATTATGGTAAATACATAATTACTTCTGAGTCACTTGGATCCTGCAATAAGTAAATATCTTCTAAGTATCTACAGCTCTGCTAAGCAAAGTACAGAGGATTTCACCTGACAGCTGCTGTTTCCAGCACTGCATCTCACCCCATTCTGGATGTTATCAGCACTTCATAGGGGAAACAGTACCGATAACGTGCCTGTGTACCAGGTACCTCAGCTCACACATTCCTTCCTCCCCAATACACACCCTCCCCCCCCCAGCAAATCCAACTTCTCCTATAGTCAGTGAGCTTCCAGCACACTGCCTTTTTTTGCCATCCTCACTAAGGAGGGACAACAGAACAGATGGTTCTACATAGTGATAACGTTTCAAGAGCTCTAGGCAGAAAGATAGGCAGAAAGCAGTGGTCTGAGGTTACAGAAGTATGGTCCCAGTCCCCACCCAGACAGGCTTCACACTGAGTTCAGTAAGGGCTAACACAGAGGAATCCTGGCAAGAGTTTTACCTCAGTGACAGAGGTTATGGATCTCTGCTTAATCAGAGGTAGGAAAGCACATTCAATTCAAGTAAAAATCCTTTTGAAATAACTGATATTAAAAGTGTGTTTGTATTACTCAGAGAAGAACTTCAGTTTTCTACCACTTATAGGCTTTCCTTATTAAAAACCTCGATTTCACATCATAAAACTTTCAGGGCTTTTCTACTAGGAAATTAGCCTGATTTCATCAGTTCTTGATTATATCTATCCTTTTCAATTCCAAGAAAAAGTGATGCATTAGCAGTTAACAGATACCCTTAAGATTGTGTGTGTGTGTGTGTTATTCCAGTAAGAAAGCAACTAGCACAGTCAAAGATGTCTAGCACAACTGATTTACATGTGTGTCTCTGGTGAAAAATGTCTTTCTGTAGCTTTCTGAGCTACAGAGACATTGTCCCTCACTCCACTCACTCTCTGAAAAGAAATCTCCAGTGAACAGTTTTGCTTTGTAAAAGTCACGGTAACATCAGGACGTCTCCCCATACAAAAAGATTACAGTCTGGTTCCCTAAATTCAAGATAAATCCTTCATACGTCAAGACAGGTGTTCGCCATTTGTTAATTCTTTTTCAGCTGGGAAATAACAAAAATTCTGAACAAGCAAGGTAACATTTTAACAGGCCTCAAGCAACAAAGAATCCGAGAATTTATGCATTTGACATGTGATTCTTTTGACAGACCAGATCAAGACAATGCTAGCGAACACTGTTTTCATAGAAATATTCCAGTGTTTACCCACTTTGTACTTTGGAAGGGGCAAAAAGTTAGTAAAGAAAGTTGTAAGTCCTAAACGTATGAGTGCTTATTTCTTCTCCCCTACCTGTGACTCGTGGGGAATTAACTACATCTGTGGCTTTACTGTTGGGTGAAGATCAGAATTGACTTCTCCCAGCAACTTTTGACGTGACTGCAACATATTGAATCTGGGAGTCAGAAAACAAGCTACCTGACAGGGGAAAAACCCGTAGTTTTTCTAGCAGTAGAGTAACTCTTCCATTAAGCAAAAGAACTGGAAGATATTTGCACTTCTACAATTGCCTGTTTGTAAGTCAACCCCTCTAACGGGAATCAACCCCTCGCCGGCAGCAGAAAGCCTTCCCCAAGGCCAAACCTGCCTCCCCAGAACCGGATTTGGGATCCGAGACGGGAAGCCTGACTAACGCTAGGAATTGGTGAATCCGTTTTTCCTGGGGGAGGGGGTGCTGTGCTCCCCGGGCCGCGTTTCGCTCCCCCACCCCGCGGCGGGATGCTGGCCCGGACCGGCGGCGCAGAGATGCTGCGCCCGGCCCCGCT